AAACATATCGCGCAAAAAGTATGTACTAATAAAATCTTTATTCGAGAAATTTTTATGGGCAGCCAGAAAAATATATATTTTAATTTCAATATCAAAGTTTTAAACCAAACAAAAATCCCCATAAAATCCCCACATCCCCAAACGAAAAAATCTATCCCCAAATGGTTTCATAAATCCCCAAAATGGGGCAAAATCCCCATATCTGGCAACTCTGTATGCGCGTATAGCACAGAAGGATTCTATGTGTAATTCTTAGAAAATTTTCCGAAGAAGCCTTGGGTCTATAACAGGGTTGAGCAAATTGCACAAAATCGAACTTTTCACTACCACTAGGGCTTGGTACATTTCAAATTTCACTACCACTACACGGAGAATGGTAATGAAATGCTCAGTGCATTAAAAATTTAGTGCAGCGTGCCCAACCCTAGTCTAAAATTTATTGCAGTTGCCTAATTGCGAAAATAGGTTTCCTAGCATTTTGCTGTCGCGTCGTAAAGAAGTACTTAAATTTTGTATAAAAACAAGGGTTTTTTTTTGGTATGAGGAATTCTTTTCTGCACTTATCTTTTTCTTAAAACTTCCACCAAAGGACGCAGCAGTGAACATTTTCACATTTTCTTCGAAACTTCTTTTCGCATTTTGGCAAACTTAAAATTGGTTTTAGATCCATAGTTTCTTCAGAAAATTTGCTTAGAATTACACGTTGAATCTTCCTATCCTATACGCGTATCATCAAAAATAATTGACTCGGCCTAATGTACATTAAGAAAGTGTTTATGAATGAAGTATACCCAGGCGTTTTTTACATTGAACATAACTTTGTACTAGTGTCCCACCGAGTGTTCGGGTTCGGATTGGGTTACCGAAAAATTCGTCCAAAACTGGCCTAGTATTTAAAAACGAACAGTTTTAAAAAAGTTACAAATTACACAATTTTTATTTTTTTTATTTGATTGGGTCTGTTGCGTTTCTTTTAATTTTATTGCGTTGTTTTATTTTAATGGCAACTTTCTTATTTCTTGTCGTGTTAGTTTTATTTCCTGCCATACATATACAAACATATTTACAGTATTTCAAAATTGACTTTGGTATGTATTTGGCAAATCACGAATTGCAAAGGAGTTAATTTAAAATTAACATGGCTTCACTGTTTGTTCCAACTAGGTAGAGTTTCAATCGGTCATATGTCGGCGAACATTGCATCATAGTTCGCCGTTACGATATTACACATGGGCGCGGGATACCGGGAGCAGAGGGACCCACAGTACTAGTTTCAACATGGCGGCCAGGACGGGCAGTATCGGGAAGGTCTTTAAAAATTTGCGGGCGGGACGAGACAAAAATCTTTTCCCGTTAATACCAGTAGCTTCAGATAATTTATGGTGATTTCGATTCTTCCAAAAAAAAATTACGCCTTTTAATTGCCTCTTTGTCTTTTCGTGTTCGATTCTAAAATAAATGCAATGCAAAAAAATAAATATTAAATACTTTCCTGTATTTATTAAAATAATGTGATTACACACTTGCAAGCTTAAAAAAAAAACAGAGCTCGTAAAGCCATCAAAGTACTGTCTCACTCTGAGGAGTTATAATTTTTAAGGGCACTCCGAGCGGTAGCGTTATTTACATTCTCTTCACCATAAACTCCTCACATGTTCGGCTCACTCACGAATTTGCATACGGCATATTTGTAAAATAGNTAAGGGCACTCCGAGCGGTAGCGTTATTTACATTCTCTTCACCATAAACTGCTCACATGTTCGGCTCACTCACGAATTTGCATTCGGCGTATTTGTAAAATAGTTTTTTTTTTATGCTAATGGCATCATTTTTATTATCGCTCCGAGTTTTAAAGTGATGCGAAAAATATTTATCACTCACATTTTTAAAACACAAAACTTGAAACAACAAACCCGACAAGCTTTTTCGCCAAACTTTAAATTCAGAAACTGACAATAGAGAAAAGATCGAATCTAGAAAAATCGATGACAAACAACTAATCAAGCAAGAAGCATAAAAAGTGTTCCACCTTCTTATCCTCTTCAAGGCAGGATGGGTAAATGGAGTAGTCATTTACGCCTATCACAGTCAGATGTTTGTGCCACGTTAAGTGAACAGTCAACAGTCCAACAAGTTGTATGTGGTCCCGTCTATCAATGACAGCAAAAAATAGACCTTCTGAGATCGCCCACCTGTATCCCTTCGATGCCTCCCAGTCATTGCTGAGCGAAGTATTCATCCAGTTTCTGATGGCGGCTTGGATGGCCAAGGTGGGGAGTGCTATAGCTGTTTGCAGGTTTGCAGGTAGTAGGTGCTCCCGAGTGACATTGTGCGCAGAGTAAAGTACGCTCCTTATGTTTACCAATATGGTTTAATAGAGACTGAACCAGCCTGAAAGTACTTAGAGGGCTGACCAATGCCTTAAGTGCAGCTTGGTTGTCCTTGCAGACACCGTAACACGTAGTCCATGGCTCTGAGGATTGCAAATACCTCAGCCTGGAAGACGGAAGCATATGCGCGAAGAGAAAAGTGAAACTTATTACCATTAACTTCGAAAAAGACCCCCGATCCTGACGCAGAGTCAGTTTTGTAACCATCAGTGACGATTCGACGATGTGTGAGTCCTGGCTCAGTGCTGGAAGTAAACCAGCTTTCAGCCTCAGGGAACTCATTATAGAATTTCTTCAATAAAGGTAATGGTGGCGTAATATCCTGTGGCATTGAATATACTCTTTTTAGTCTGCAGGTGGCTTTTAAAGCGTCTACTCGTGTGAAAACACAAAATGACGGTAAGTGCAGAAGTGCGTCAAGAGCACTATACAACACTCAAAACACTTTAAGTTAAATATAGAGGCTACCCAGCAACCATAAGATTAATTTTCGTGGACCCTCACTTACAACTCGTGCTTCCCCATATTTTTCGCACGCCAACGTAGACCCCCGTCGAGTCCTCTGGGGGTCCACCTGGTCCACTTTGGGAATCACTGAGCTAGACAGAGACAAGAAGGCAAAAACATGCTCTTTTAGAGGGTTAAGTGTAACCTGTAACACATTTTGCAACGGGAAAGGGCAACATTTTTTGAAAGAAACGAAATCACCATTAGAAATTCCTTGAAAATATTGCATATATGTGGCATTCTTATTCATATCGAACACCAAATTTGGTGTCCCACTTTCGATTCCCTTACAATTTTTGTTTGTGTTTTATACATGAAATAATCTAACACGTATTCGAGGAATTTTTTATTTTTTTTTTCGGAGATATGATCTGTCCAAGTTTGGATTTTTTCGTCATTCTCATCGTGATGCTCATCGCAGAGACTTCATCTTAACGTCGTAATATTTTTAGGTGAGATTTTGGCAAAGGGGGCGTGACACCTCCTATACAAACTGATTCTCATATCGCTTATATCTGGAACCGCTTACGCTAATCTCCTGAAATTTTACACGGCTACATATGTTATCAATGACCTACTTATGTTGAAAATTGGCAGTTATTGGAAAAGATGGAACAGTTTGTCTTCCGATAGGTGGCGCAGGGGAGCTATCCAAAAAAATCCTACTTATGGTGAGGTTCGCTTCATATTTAGAATACATATTAGTACCATAAAATTTGGTGTAACCTGGTAGTCCAATCGTGTGATGGTGGTAAAATATTGGGGTTTGTCCCATTCTTGAGAAAAAATTTTGTGAAGTGGCCTTTAGGGAAGGATATATGTATGTATGTATGTATATAATATGGTTTTAAACTTTAGAGGTACTTACTTAACCTGTACCGATTCTAAAAAAAAAGCCTATGTACAGTCCGAATTTGTAAATATTTAGGGCCGTTTCTCAATGGAAGGACAAATGCGATAAAATAAACACCATGTCGGATAGCCAGGCAGCGTTAAGAGCACTTGACTCTTGTAAAACGGTGCCAAAGGTAGTAGACAGTTGCAAAAAGGTATTGATCAGACCAGGAGCCAGTAACAGAGTAACCCTATGGTGGGTACCTGGTCATGAGGGATTCGATGGCAACGAAAAGGCAGGCACTCTAGAGAAAATCGGTGCCCAACGGAGCCTAATCGGCCCTCAGCCTTTCTTTGGTCCATCCAAAGGACACACCGCAGAGCTCCTAAGGGAATGGGAGGACTTTCAAGTTACAACCCAATAGTGCTCGACAAAGGGTAATAGGCAGTCCAATAGATGCATTACTCCCTCTCGAGGAATCTCTGAACGGCTGCTAAATCTTAGCAGAGAGGGTTTAAGAACACTCACCGGATACCTGACAGGGCACTGCAGCCTGAGGTAGCATCTGCACAAGATGGGACTCTCTGAGGAGACGAACTGCAGGTTTTGAAACCTCGGACACCTATGACACCCTCTAAAGTGCTAAATTTCATTAACAGCCTAAGGTTGGAGTAACTTGATAAGGGTTAGCACAATAGATCTAGCTAGGTCGCAGCGCTATATATGACCTAATGCTAATAACTATATGTCGAAATTTTCATTTTGAGTGCTTTTCCATGCACAACAGCGACTGTGGAGCAATCGTTTAGTACACTTCGTAGAGCAAAAATCTGGCTCAGAAGCACTACAGGAGAAGAGGGGAAAACTCGTTACTGAAAACCGCGAGATTATTCAGGAGGAAATAATCGAAAAGTGTGCTGAAAATCGGAGACGTTTGTTATTAGCGTAAAAATTATAAAATAAAAAAATATATCAAAAAAATGTACAAGAATATTTTGTTTTGCCCCCCTCCGCCCTTATATCAAATCCTGGCTACGCCCTTGTTTGGGGGCAAACAATAAATTTGATATAAATCCCAGTACATATCCGCAGTACAGTTACCGTGTACAATGTGTGAAATAAAACCTTATAAAAATAAGATCAGATGTATTTCCCCATAGCCATTATTGACTGAAACACACATGAAAAGTTCAAGGTGTACTTCATCGATTATCAGTTAAATCACATTGCATTCCGATACCTAAGCAAATCTGAAGTATGTGCATACAATAGTTGGCAAGTACTGAGACCTTCTGCCTTGCTGACTAAGCTATAAATGTGAAGAAGCTTATTGGAAAATCAGTAGTAACATTGCCCACATTCGCATCGAAAGATTCGAGCAATGGGTCGGTTTAAGAAATATCTACATACATATCTATTGAACAGAAAAAAAAGTAAAAATATTATAACTAATTAAATTATCGCACTTGGTTTCTTCCAATCAGCTTGCAAATTTAGCGCTTCGCAAACAAATCTGCTGTCTTTAATGATCTTTTGTTTATGGATCGCGACAGCTGTGACCTTGAATGAAAGGGTTTGTACTTAGTGTCATTTTATATATGTACATAGTTACAATCAGTGTTGCCAGAATTTTCTCAGCGATCCAAATAAATGGACAAAAAAAAAAGAACTATAAAAAGCCAAATGAAAAAATTTCAAAGCTAAAACGGCTAAAAGTGTAAAGACAACTATTCAAATGTTTTATTTGTAATGCTTATTTGTAAAATAGGTACATATTTCTTACTATAAGACTATTTGCATGATTTTTTGATTAAAAAGCAGATACTGGACAATTGCTCAATTGTGAACAGTTCTGGGTGGAGGCTGCTCTTCCGAGAAACTGCTTGAGCCGATAATTTATAACTTTATACCTTTCCATATTTCGACAGTTTTGCAAATATTCAACTATAATCGATTATTTGTCCCCTCAAACTGAGTTAAGGGCGTTTATCGCTTTTTACAATTTTATGAAGAGTAATTGAGCCGTGTTTATTCGTACAATATTTTTTGTTTGGATTTTTCTAAATTTGGTAAAAAGCTAGAAAGAGCTAAAAGATTTACCGAAAAAGCTAAAAAAAAGCTAGCAGCCAAATTGGAATTTTTCTAGCTGGAAAATAGTTAAAATGGCAACACTGCTTACAACAAAAGAAAAACATGCCTGTCTGGTTAATGTTGAATTGATCGAATATGTAATTTCTTGAACAGCCTGGCTCTGGTAGTTATTACTTTTACTAATTCAACTCATTACTGTTAACATTTTTATGAGTATCCAACTTAATAAATATTTTCTGTTAATTCATATACATATACGCATTACAAACATACAGCTTGAACAAACCTTCCGCCACCCCGATTGCCCACTTGCCGACGATCCTATGCACCCAATACACTTGCCTTACCCCAGCGATTGCCACAAGTATTACACTTGCAAAAATGGGTATGCCTACGCAATGCTGTGTCAGAACGAGCTACAATGGAGTGTGACAACCTATCGCTGTGATTTTCCTTCCGTCGCGAAATGTAATAACACTCATCCCAATCCAATTGATACAACCTATGGTGGCGCATTTCCCGCATCGGAAGGCGTTATATTCAAGACAGATGCCAAGGATTGCAACAGGTTTTACAGTTGTATGCCGATGCGTTGCCCTCGCTCCCAGCATTGGAATGGAATGTTAAATCGCTGTGATTCACCACAAAATACCATTTGCGATGCTTCTGCACAAATGTGGACGCAACCACCATTCATAGATAATTCAATACCGACCGCTGCAACACCTCCAGCATATGCTAACGGTGAACTATTGCCCGCCTCAATCGCGCCAGCTTACGAAGACGAGCCCGCGCGCTTATTGACCTTATGTAGTACACCCGGCGTTGATTATGTACGTCACCCGTATGACTGTCATAAATTCATCCAATGCGATGGCTTTGCTACGGTGCATACCTGCGCGAATAATCTTTACTGGAACTCGGAAGTAATGGCATGCGATCGGTATTGCAAATAATAATAATATTGTACTTATGTATGTGGTTATGTGCATTTCTATTTTATCATAAATATATGTATATTTTATTGTATAAATCTTCAATGAAAATTGTTTTACTTATAAACTTATATATTTTACCCGAATTTATATTAAAGGAATTGCAAATATTTATACAAACTTAGAAGATACACACACAATACTTTAAAGGAAAATTAAAAAAAAAAAACCAAAAAAATTTTGAAACAAAAACAAGCTTTTATTAGAAAAGTTCTAAGTACGCAGATTTATAGCCCATTATTTTCTGGCTTTAAAAATGAAAGCTTCCAATGGCGAAGAATTCGCTTGATTTTTGATAATTTTTTGTTTTTGCTGACAGGCATTTTCTTCCATACAAAGTAGTGTCGAAATTTATTTTTATTTTTATATGGAAGAAAATAATAATAGCACCATCCGAAAAAATTTGGAATTAAAGCTTTTATATTAATTTTGTCATTTGCGTTTGCAAACAAAATTTAAATTGTATGTGTAGAGATACCAATTGCATCACGTTATACATATATCGAAATTGGCTGGAGTACTGGAGGCACTAAGTAATAAAACTCACCCGAAGACAGCGACGCTCTTATTTTTTTATTTGCAAAATGTTGTATTGTTGATAGAAAGATTGCTAAACAAGTTTCTTATCAAAAAAGAAGCTTTATTTTCGGTATACCGCCAGTGATCGGACTGAAAAAAAATTCTGTGTGGTAGAATCTGGAAAAAAGTGGTAGATTTAAAAAAAAATGTGGTAGATCTCAGGTTTTGTATCAAACTTTGTACAAAGATTAAAAAAATTCTGCAAGGTTTCACTTAAATTGCAAACATTTTAATTAGAATCAAAAAAAAAATATTTTAGTATAATAAAGTGCAAGATTGAAACTGCGTTGAGTTTTGGCAATTTTTTTCCTTGACAGTGTAAAGCCGATTTTGACAATTCTCAAGTAAAAGTAAACAACGCCTTACAAACTTTAGATAAACTGAAATTTGCTAATACTTTCAGAAAAATCGCCGTGTTTTAACATTCTCGCTATTAATTCTTTTTATAAATCATATATTTTGCAATTTAACACAATATAACCACATTTCCTGTCGAAAAATTTATTGTTGAGAAAATTTACTATTTTATAATTTATTTTATCCTCCCATTCGGCTTTGTTTACTTTTACTTGAGGAATTTCACCGCCACTGGGAATGCGGAATCTTGTATTATATAATTCTTGTAACCATATAGTGTTTAATGTTGGACAATTTTTGCTCTTAAAATTAAGAAAATTATGTCGAGCAAAAATAAAACTACTCAAAAACGCGAATATGTAGTAAATTTCAGACCTTGTGTGGTAGATGTGGTAGATGCTCCAAAAAGTGGCAGATCTACTACAATGAAGTAGGAGTCCGATCACTGTATACCGCCTGAAAATATGCTTGTTATTCGAATAACAAGCTCAAAAACAAGAAAACAAAAAAATACAAAACAAAAATACTGGCCATCAAACAATTTGCGTTACTGATAGCCGACATGTATACATATTTAGGGCTTTAGTGGTAAAAGCAAACTCAATAGAAGAATAAGGGCCGATTTCATAATAAAATCAAAGATTATTTTAAAGTTTAAAGGATGCTTTATTTTGCTGATCGATCTTATAAAGCCACTTTAAAGATAAAGATGCCCATAAGAGGTGCTTTGGTTAAATACCCAAAAGGGAAATTTAAATGGCATAAAGCTCCCTTTTGTAAGAAAGAAGTATGTCATTTTAGTAGTTATAATTACATATTTATGACAATCAGCTGATGCGATTTTGCCGAGATCAGCATAGCCAACTTTGTTATTTCCATTTAAATGAACCTTTTGTTATTATTCAATTGCCATTGCATTATGAAAACACTTCTTGTTTAAAGTACATTTAAATGACACATAAAGTAAAAGGAAACTTGTGCAAAAGGAGCTTTAAGTGTTTCATTACGAAATTGGCCCTAACAATGGTATCAAAATAATAAGCTCGATGTTCATTTTCAAAAGGTAAACATCTATAGAAAACATTTTTTGCCATTTGAAGTGTTTCGAACAGCTTTAACCGGCGTAAACCCAGATTTTGAAAATTTGGCCAAAGGGATCTTTTGAATTTTCTTTAATATCTATCTTACGTACATTCGAATAATAATAAAATTAATGTTTTTCATTTCTAATAATAGATTTCTTTAAAAATAAAATTTCTGTTTTTGTTGTTTTTTTGTGGCTCTTTGTAGAATTTAGAGTTTATATGTGGGTCTTTTCGACCTCGGCTTTGCCCATCCCTGCAATAGACCTCAGTACATACTTCTTACAAGTAACTTGGAAATTTCTTTTAAATTTTCTTATGAAGCATTTCTGCATGCAACGCGGTACCATACATGCTTACATATACTATTTTTCATCTTTTCGCACGGTAGATAAATGTAGGGAATCGCTAACAGCTGCGGTCGCGAATAGATCTCTACCGATAGATTATGTATTAACATTTTGTGATTGCTTTGAATTTTTCCGTACCTTTTTGTGTATGTGTACATATGTTTTTACAGTGCAGTGGCGATAACGCGAACTAATTAAAACCCAGAGACCGAAAATAACTGGTCCACATTAAACACATTGCAACTTTTTCTATCATTAACTATTTATTTAAATATTTAAATAAAGGCCAACCGTAGTTATTTATGCCAATTTTTTTTTTTTGTTGAAAAGGTGAGTTAGTAAATTTAATTATGCTGCAGAGAAATTATATGATGAAATTGCAACGAAGTAAAATAAACTATAAAGAATAATAAGTACAACTATTTTTATTCATTCAAATAATATTGATTTCACGCAGTTCCAATAAAATTGTATACACTCAGAAAAATACACATGTACATGTATGTTTAGATTGGGTACCACAGATAAAGGTATAATGAAGCCTAAAAGCTTTACAACGAAATTGATGTGATACGCGATCAATGTACAGCGGTTGCGCGGGCAAAGCCATGTTGCTTGTTTAAAAAGAGGGTGCAAATTTCTTTGAAAGATGGAAAATATGCATAATATGAAATACATGTATGTAATCATGCATAACAACCATCAGCGTCCTCATTCAGTTCACGATTTATCCACATACATATGTATGTACATATAATGTCCATTTTTAAAATACATACTTATGTGCCCATATTCACGTGGCCACTCTGAATGACAAGTTTTTATTTGTATAAAACGATATTTTCATTTCCCAATACCAGGCGCTCATACATGTCAAGTATCAAGCATGATTCACTTCAAAATTTTTGACATAAACCGTGTCTGTGACAAACACGCAAGTTAGCCACTGCTGTGATATAGAAATTGGGGATTTTCGCTTGTTATTTTAGATATTTTTTAACAGAACATGTAAGGATTTATATGTTTCATAACTGATCACTTCATTTTTAATACATCCGTACGTATTTAATACATACATTTTTGCCACCGCTAATCACATGAATAAAAATCATAAAAATGAAAATATAATGGCAATATTTCTTGCTTAAAATGTTTTAGATCCATCGCACACCACGGACTTTATCGGCCGCCGATTTAGTTGGGCTCGCTAGTCTTTCCATTGCACCACAACTAATTGGTCGGAGCGATTAAGCTGGTGTAGGTACTGTGCGCACCTCCATACATCTTCATGTAAATATTTCAAGCGAGCCCTACTGTTTAAATAGGCCGGCCGATAAAGTCTGTGGTGTGCGGTGGCTCCTATAGCTGCATCCTTACATCGATTCTGTGTGTTGCAATATCCACGGAGGCAGCAGTCAATTTTATTTGTTCTATTTTTCCAAAGTCAAATGCTGGATTTTTTTTGAAAAAGTTGGTACAACAAAAAATACGAAACACGTACAAAATTGTTTGCATAAATTTTTAAATTTCCAAAATTCTGCTTTGTAAAGTTTAAATGCTTCTACAAAAAAAAAAAAATAATTAAAAAGTTCTCCAAACAAATTTATGCGTCTAGAAAGCCTGCTACTTCATATATATGAGCGCCTGATATTGGGAAATAAAAATATCGCTTTGTACAAATAAAAAATTAGTTCGTTACATAAAAATGACCGCAAGTTTCCTTTACCGATATGCAGTTGGCTTTTAAAAGCATGGACTGAATATCTAAAGCTGTTACGTACTTTTGGTCATAGGTAATGCTTTACCAATTTGTAGCAGTGGTGGAAAGGCAAAAGCAACGACTATTTTCTACTATAAAGATTTTCTTTTAGTGTCGGAGCATTTTTTTTTCAGTGTACTATTGAATGATCACAAGTGTTTGCATTCAACCAAAATTTACAATCACGATGATTGTGAGTGCTTCTGTTACATTCACATTCTATACTGAATGGAACTCTACCATTCAATAACACATTACGTTTGTTTTTGTTTCAAAATAATTTAAGCCACTCAGGAATGAGGTTTTTTTTTATACAACCAATCAAAATTTTGAGTGAATGCAGGTCTTACTGATTCAATCATTTTACAGCTCTGCTACTTGAATACCGTTGCATTTAAAACAAAAAACTAAAACAAAAGGTCAATTCGAAACATAAAATAACATCAAATCAAATAAAAGTCAAACCAAATCCTCCAAACGAAATATTGTTTTGAAATTATTCAGTAGAGACGAAAAAAGGATGTAGTTTCGCATTATCTGTCATTTTGCATCAAAAACTAAATTTTTGGAAAAAAGTGGACTTGGCACCTTTTAACCTTTAGGTAACGACATCTATTCTTTATATAGACAAATTGACTAAATTTTTGTCCACGTTACAGAGTAGTCAATGTTAAAACAAAGGGTGTTCATGATAAGCGGTGTTCACATAATTGCGAGAACACTGCACTTATGTATGTATGTATATTTACTTATATGTACATATGTACTTATATTTGTATGTATGTATAGTTAAATTCGCGTTTGCGCTATAATTGCGTTTATAATTTCTTTTCTACACACAACTCCTGTTGTGGCAAATTCATTCCCTAAGAGATAGTGCGATATGCTATCTGTAGCGTAAAATACAGCTCACCTCATCTACATTAGAATACATACATATTTAAGTTTTTATGTATGCAGCCGCTATGGCTGAGTGGTTTGAGGTGCGGACTACCACTCTGTAGGACCTGTGCTCGATACCTGACCCAAACAAAGCTTCTCATAAAACCATTTGCCGACGTTCGGAGGCAGCGTAAAATTGTAGGTCCCTCCATTTGTGTTATGACTTCAGGACGCACACCACAAATTGGGTGAGAAGCTGGGCCAAAGACTTGGCAAAAGTGTAAGCGCCAAAATACTATTATTATCTATACACGTACATTAGAGTGGTCCAAAAAGAATTAAAGTCAGAATTTTAATTCGCTCACCCTCTAGGTAAGTTTTATATCGAAAAAATACCCATTTTTTTAAATTTGAAATCATAAAATATTTAGATGGTGCTCAAAGCACTCAAAGTTTCCCATGTGCTTTATATGAAAAAAACAACGGTTTGTAGAAACGGTATAGAATTCTCGAAAATCAATATATTTCCATCAGAAAACTTTATTTCTCTTCAGGAGACTGCCAAAAATAATATCCAATTGTTTATTTATCCATTTTTTAATACTAAAGATTTTTAATTGATCCCCCATTGCATTTTATGGGGTTTTTGGCGGACCTATGAAATATAGTTACTATGAAAAAATTTTTAAATAAACAATTTGTTATTATTATTGGGCATCTCCTGAAGATAAGCAGAGTTTACCGATCGAAAAATATTGATTTTATCGTGTTCTATACCCTTTCTACGAAAAGTTGTTTTTCCCCATATAAAATATGTACATGGAAAACTTCGAGCGCTTTGCGAGACCTCTAAATATTTTTTGATTTCAAAATAAAAAAAATATGGCTACAATTTTTTGGTATGGAACAAGCTTACGGGGAAGAGCATTAATATTCCGACTTTACTTGTTTTTTTTTTGTACCACCCTAATGTACATACATATGCATATACAAACACTTATACTACGAACTAATATCGAAATATTAATAAGCGATTCCATAGTGCTCCAGCAATTAGGCAGCATTTCCAACTCAATCTTAGATGAAATTACATACGTATTTGCAAAAGATATGTTTTGTTTGTAAGCATTTATAAGCAAAACAGTTTATAAATAACGAAAACGCTGTAAGGTAGCTCAATTCGTTGTTTCCATTTGAATATTCTCGCCACAATTTTGCGCACTTAGGAAAGTAACTACTGATATCATCCGGAAAACTTACTTTCGGGGGAAAAAAGATGAAGTGTTCCTATATAATTATAGTATCTCTTGCCCTCGTACAAAGCTACAGCCTGGGAAAGAGCCCCGATGTAGGTATTGATTATATATGTATATGTACACACATACATATATGCACGTAAATATATTATTTTTCTACCATTGCAGCAACAGACAGGCGCATATAGCTTCCCTGCAATTTGTCGTAATCAAAATGGCGTTCTTATACCCATGCCGGGCTCCTGCGCAGGTTTTTTCATTTGTGTCGATGGCCATGCCATAGCTAGCTCATGTGGCGGATTCTATCGCTTTAATGCCCGCACCGGACTTTGCGATCATCCGCTGAAAGTCGGCTGTTCCAGCAACAATCCACCAATCGAAAATGCAATATCTGCAACAACATCAGCAATAACTAAGTTGGTTGCTCGTCCATCATTGCCGAAACCGAAAAGTCCCAATGAAGTAATCGCCGATCTGAGTGCTGGTGCAATCTGCAATAACCTGCCAACCGGTATACTGCTGCCTAAATCGAACTCGTGTACGCAATACTATGTGTGTATATATCAGCGACCTTATCGCCGGACTTGCCCTCCAATGTTGCATTTCAATGCAACACGTGGCTTATGTCAGGACCCGACGATGGCCCGTTGCGTCATTCCATTTGATTTAAACAAGCTGGATCGTCAACNCTTATCGCCGGACTTGCCCTCCAATGTTGCATTTCAATGCAACACGTGGCCTATGTCAAGACCCGACGATGGCCCGTTGCGTCATTCCATTTGATTTAAACAAGCTGGATCGTCAAGCAAATGGAAAAACGGAAACGGTGAATGATTTTGAGAAAGGCAAACTGATTAAGGTTGCTATATCGACTGACATCGATGACAGCCACGTAGATAATATTTGCGCTTCGAGTAATAATGGGACTTTGCTCCCCTACCCGGGCGATTGTAGCCGGTTCATTTTCTGTATGCGCAATCAAGTTTTGTCATTATTTTGCCCAGAAGGATACCAGTTCAGTCCACGATACGCACGTTGTGAACGGCCTTCAATTGCAGAATGTGCCGGACTCTCTAGATAATGAAAAAAAACATTTTTCCTTGCATTTATATCAATTGAGAAATAAAATTTAATAATTTCAAAGATTGTTGACGTTAGTTGAAGATATTTTGTTGTTGGGAAAGGTTTTCGCACTTTGACGCTCAAAGAGCTATAATTTGGCCTAACATATTTTATGTACGCTTTGATTTTGATTTGAAAGGCTTTTACTACATTCATGTACATGTTTATTCCACAAAAAGTACATATGTATGTATTTATGTATTACATATGTATGTATGTATACCAATTACCAATTAATGAGTTAACAACCGAAACTTGTGGGCCAATCACAGACCCCTAACTTGACATTAAACATCAATTGAGATGAACAACTGCGTTTCACTTCGCACTCACATTGGCATACAATGTAGTCGGAGCTACACGCATCCGTTTCGCTAGCAAAGGAGGTGCCATCAGGTTGACCCACGCAGCGTCCTCCAGTTTCACAATAAGTTCCAGACGGGCCAGCCGAGGGCCCACTTGGTGGGGCTTGGGGCCATGTACAGTTCACATTATTCGGATAGTCACATTGCCCAGTCGCCGAATTGTATTGCAAATTATTGGAGCAAGTAAATATATTTTCTTTTCCGCCCACGCAAACTACGAATTTCTGGCAATTACCTTCCAGAACGTGAGTATAGCCTTCAGTTGTATTGCAACATGTTGGATCACAGTCGATAGTTCCTCCTGTGGGTGCAGGTATTGTTGGTGTTGGCAAACCCGAGGAAGTAGGCCCATCTGTGGGTGTTGGAGACACTTCTGTGGATGTTGGTGAAGGAGAGTCAGACGTAGGAGTTGGCGACGTATCTGTGGGCGTAGGAGTTGCTCCTGTAGGTGTTGATGTGCCTTCACTAGGCGTGGTAGAGTCTGCCGTAGAAGAGCCTCCTGAAGGCGTGGACGAGCCTCCAGTAGGTGGAGGCGAGTCGCCAGTTGTCGTAGGAATTGGCGAGGCATCTGTAGGTGTAGGAGATGCTGCTGAAGGTGTTGATGGGCCTTCACTAGACGTCGGAAAGTCTGCCGTAGGTGTTGCTCCTGAAGGCGTTGATGAACCTCCAGTAGGAGTAGGAGAGCCGCTAGAAGGCGTAGGAGAGTCCGCCGTAGGAGTTGGCGAGGCATCTGTGGATGTAGGAGATGCTCCTGAAGGTGTGGATGAGCCTGAACTAGGCGTGGGAGAGTCAGCCGTAGGAGTTGGCGTAGAAGACCCGCCTGAAGGCGTTGATGAGCCGCCAGTAGGCGTAGGAGTTGGCGAGGCATCTGTAGGTGTAGGAGATGCTCCTGAAGGTGTGGATGAGCCTGAACTAGGCGTGGGAGAGTCAGCCGTAGGAGTTGGCGTAGAAGACCCGCCTGAAGGCGTTGATGAGCCGCCAGTAGGCGTAGGAGTTGGCGAGGCATCTGTAGGTGTAGGAGATGCTCCTGAAGGTGTGGATGAGCCTGAACTAGGCGTGGGAGAGTCAGCCGTAGGAGTTGGTGCAGGAGACCCTCCTGAAGGTGTTGAAGAGCCTGGACTAGGCGCGGGAGAGTCAGCCGTAGGAGTTGGCGTAGAAGACCCGCCTGAAGGCGTTAATGAGCCGCCAGTAGGCGTAGGAGTTGGCGAGGCATCTGTAGGTGTAGGAGATGCTCCTGAAGGTCTTGTTGAGACTTCACTGGGCGAGGGAGAGTCTGCCGTAGGAGTTGCTCCCGAAGGCGTTGATGAGCCTCCAGTAGGTGTAGGAGAGCCGCCAGTAGGCGTAGAAGAGTCCGCTCCTGAAGGTGTTGATGAGCCTGAACTAGGCGTGGGAGAGTCAGCCGTAGGAGTTGGTGCAGGAGACCCTCCTGAAGGCGTTGAAGAGCCTGCAGTTGATGAAGGAGAATCGCCAGTAGGCGTAGGAGAGTCTGATGTAGGAGTTGGCGAGGCGTGAGTAGGCGTAGGAGAGTCTGTTTCAAGAGGTGGCAAAGCATCAGTAGGTTTAGGAAGACCTCCTGAAGGTGTTGATGAGCCGCCACTAGGTGTGGGAGAGTCCACTGTAGGAGTTGGCGAGGCATCTGTGGATATAGGACATGCTCCTGAAGGCGTTGATAAGCCTTCACTAGGCGTGGGAGAGCCTTCCGTAGGAGTTGGCGTAGAAGCGCCTCCTGAAGGTGTTGATGAGGCATCTGCAGGCGTAGAAGACTCTCCTGAAGGTGTGGCCGAGCTTCCATTAGGTGTAGAAGATTCGGCAGTAGGCGCAGGAGAATCAGCTGGAGGAGTTGGGGAGGCATCAGTAGATGTAGGAGAGCCAACGGTCGGTGTTGGCGAGTCTACTGTAGGCGTATGAGATTCCCCTGTGGGGGTTGGGGAACTAATGGTAGTCGTTTTGCATGGGGTGGCTGTTGGGGTTGCTGATTGTGGTGGAGAACTGGTTGTAGTACTTGGTGTCGATGCTGGCGTTGGTGCTGGTGTTGAACTTGGTATTTCGCAAGGAGGAGTTTCTGTACTGGGACTTTGTGGCGCTGTTGAGATTGTTGCAGTTGAATGGGATGAAGGCGTAGATGTTGGACTTGGCGTTTCACAAGGAGCCTCTGTTATTGGGGAAGTTGGAGCCGAAGGTGATGTTGAAGTTGAAGTATCGCAAGGCACACTAGTTGGGCAACATACACTGCAATCACATTCGCAACTAGGTTTCACAAGAGATCTTTCCATGGCACATCCGGCCCGGGATGGATAGTCGCATACCGCCTCTTCTGCATTAAAATGCAATCCACTTGGACAGCTTTGAACCCGACCAAACCATGTCTTAACACATATTACAAATTTGGAGCATTCCAAAAAATGGGGGTGTCTGCTACCGATTATCGAATTAGTGCACCTTGGTTCGCTCACATAATTCGCCTCCACGCTTAGCACCAAGACTACTAACGTTATAACTGCAATAACAATAATCCAATTAGATCGGCCAATGTAGAACTTTCAAAAATGCTTGGCGACTGAAACAAACCTTTTAGCATTCTGCGATGGTTAAAATATGGTCTGCTACTGGAACTTCCGTTTCCACTAAACAAAACACTATGGTGGCCTCATAGCTAGTCCATTCTATTTATATAGGTCGAAAAACAATGCTTAATTGCAATTAAATCATAATTGTTGTTGATTGCATTCAACTAGGAAATACCGCCTACATGTACTATGTATACTCAAACATACATAAATATGTATGCAAGTGCAACATGTGTGTTTATTGTTAAAGACTACCTTATCGAACCATATCGATTCGGCCACAGCATCTGTGGTAGTTATCAAAATGTTCATCATTGTTTTTGCAATTTTTTGATAAAAATCTTCTTTACTACAGTGGCTCTTCTCATTATTTCGCCTGAAAAAAAGCAGTTTGCAAATACCCATTACGTTTTGAAAAAAAAGTGCAGCTAATGTGGGCTTTTTATAAAATTGTACTTAATTCTGTCAGCAAAAAAAAAACTTAATTTCATTCAGTAGTCTTTATTATTAATATTTTTTATTTAATATCATTTTCATTATCTACGCTTAAGATTTCACTAAGCCCGATATTACTTCAAGTAAAACCCTAATTGCTAATTGAACTTATTTTACGTAAATGCATTTACATGCATACGTATATGTATGTGCATATGTTATAATAATAATAATAACATTTTGGCGCTAACACTGTTGCTAAGTGTTTGGCCGTAGAGCTGCAAAACTATTGATAGTGACGCCATTGAAAAATACTATCGATATTTTTGATAGTATCGTATACTATCGTGTTGTATATGTAGGGAATCTTCAACTCCGAACAAAATGTGTATAATATATACATATGTACATATGTAAATATAAATATTGCACATATTTAAGTATAAATATTACATCTTAGCGTGAAATTCTAAATATTTTCATTAGTTCAATTCACAGCGTTCTTTATTGAAGTAAAGGTCAATAAATCTTAATGCACCGGCCCTATTAAAACTATCGACTATCGCCCGAAAACAATCGATGTTTTTCCAAAAATAAAACTATCGATAGTACAATCGATAGTTTTGCAGCTCTATTTGGCGCTTTTAGGAAAAAACTATGTTGGAGTTAATAAGTCAAAATTAAAAAAATATATATATGTCGTTACCTTCCTAGTAGTTACTCACAATGGACAATTCTGTCTCCGAGTGAAAGTATGGAATATTCCACACATTTTTGTTTCTTGATGAAAAGAAAAACTTAATCAAGGCGAATTCATATAAAGGTGGTAGCGGTAGTACAAAAACAAAAACTACATTTGTGTTTTTTTTTCGCTTTCGGTACACAAATGTCAAATTTCTGCTATTCTTCACTCAAGGAGGAAGAGGGACAGAAAACTCTTACTTACGCACTCACTCATAAGTAGTTTTGATATATGTGTACCGCGGCGAATTAAAGCAGCTGTTCTAGCAACACCACCTAATATGAATTCGCCTTGAAAGTAATAGAAAGTCAGGTTGCTTGGTTCCGTTTTTCGTTTGAACACGATTTTGGTTGGAGACTGTAGCAACTTTTATGCTGCAGTAGTTATATTAAAATTCGTATAAGACTTTAGTGAGTAACCTATTGACTCTCGCACAAAACTGGATTTTAAAAGAANAATGATCAGAATGAAAAGAGAAATCGATTAAGCGGTGACTGTCTGTCCGTCCGTCCGTCCGTCTGTCCGTCTGTGCACACGATAACTCGAGTAAAAATTGAGGTATCTTAACGCAACTTGGTACGTGCACTTCTTTCTGGCGTAGGACGGATGGTATTGAAAATGGGCCAAATCGAACAATAACCACGCCTACCTCCAATATAACGGTACTTTTCAGAAATACGAAAACTGCAATATGTTAGTAACTACTGAAGATTATTCACTCAAAATTGATATTTACAATCATTTTTAGAAACATTATAAATATTTGAAAAATGGGCGTAGCCACGCCCAGTTATGATTATACGTATATATCTTTGTAACCGCGCCACCCATTTCTCCCAAACTTACCGGACAATAACTACGCCCACATCCTATATAACGGTAATTGAGAGAAATATGAAATCTTCGATAAATAAGTAAATACTAAAGGTAATTTATTTAAAATTATGCTTGCAATAATTTTTTACCAAGAAACACATGTATGATAACATTTTGGAAATTGAGCGTGGCACCGCCCACTTATGATCACATATATGTATGTATCTCGGTAACCGTTCTACCATTTTGTACCAAACTCGGCATGGTTATTGTGCTTTCCACATAAAAGCAAAACGTTGAAAACTATTGAAATCGGACTAAAATTACATACAACGGTAAATTTGAGAAATGCTTGAAATTTCAATATTTTGAAATTTAAGGACGCTAATTTATTCAAAATTGATACTAACAACAATCCCTTGAAAATAAGTAACATTATTTGGAATTTTGAAAAATGGGCGTGGTACCGCCCACAAATGACTATATATATAAGTTTATCTCATTATATCTAACTGAACGTCCTATCGCTTACCATGTAGCGGTAGTTTTCGGAAAGGTGAAAAACATATATTTAATACTTGTGTNCGCCTTGTAAATTATCGTTTTGCTTATTTCCACTATTTTCATTTTTGTTATGCCAACACATTTATTTTTATCATTTTTATTCAATATTATTTGACAATTCATCATAAAAACGGTCATACCCCAACACCGCTTTCTTAAACCACTAATGCCAGTACCGTGTCATCGTGTGATATCACACCTCTGGATTACTTTCTTTGGGGTTATGTAATAAGCCAGCTGTAATTCGAAATTTGGAAGCCAACATCACTCGCGTAATTCACGAGATACCGGTAGCAATGCTGGAGAGTAATTGAAAATTGGACCTTCCGAATAGACCACCGTCAGCTTAGCCATTGCCAACATTTGAATGAAATTATTTTTAAAAAGTAAATTTCTGAGACTGTTCTTTTGGGTAATAATAAAGCTTCCATCTTCCAGTTCTGTTTTTAATATTTTATTTAAAATTAAAAAAGGGTAATAATAAAGCTTCCATCTTCCAGTTCTGTTTTTAATATTTTATTTAAAATTAAAAAAGGTTTAGATGAATCACCCGTTAGTATCTTAACCCAGTGCATGTAAAATGTAAAACCACTGAAAATAGACATGGGTTTAACAACATATAACTTTTATTTATGAATTTACAAACTCGAATATTTGTAAATATATATGTATGTAAGTATGTATGCAACCCATTTGTCTGATATGATATTTTAACATCTGTCGACCTAAACGAAGGCCATGGGCCAGTCACATACGTTCACATTCGGATTGAATACTAAACCACCCGGGCAAGGCATAGAAATCTCACATTCGCATTGACATACTATATAGCCACTTGATTTAGGATCTGAAAACAAAGTGCCATCTTTCTGACCATCACACTTGCCCTTATTGTTACATACGGTACCCGACGGGCCGGTTGACGGTATGATGGGTTTTTGATCGGCAGAGCTTGGCCAATCGCAAACTTTCAGCACTGAGTTAAATATTAAGCCAGAAGGGCAGGGCATTGGAATTTCACATTCACATTGGCAAACTATATAGCCATTTGAATCGGGATCTGAGAACATGGCACCATCTGGTTGATTATCACATACACCTTTGTTATTACAAGTTGTTCCTGATGGACCCGTAGCAGGGCCACTTGGTGTTGAAGGCTTGGCTGACGTGCTTATATCAGGAAGTGTTGTCGTGGTGTTAGAAGTCGAAGAAGGGGCGGAAGATGTTGTTGTGACACTTGATGTTGAAGATGTATCTGAAGGATCGGTGCCACTTGTGCTGGTAGATGTATCTTGTGTCGAAGTGTTCATCGCTGTCGAAGAAATGTCCGAAGATGTCGTAAAACTTGTGACTGTTGGAGTAGGAGAAGTGTCTGGTGTGGAAGATTCTGTTGGTTTTGTGGAAGTGTCCGAAGGAAATGTAGCACTTGTTGTTGAGGATGTCTCGGATGTAGTAGATGTGACAATCGGTATTGGAGGTGTGTCCGAAGTTGAGCTTGAAGATGCGTCTGGAGTAGACGATTCCGTAGGCGTTGATGAAGTGTCAGTGGTAGATGCAATGGTTGCTGTCGAAGATGGAACGGAAGTTGGTGTTGTAGTAGTTGGTGTACTCAAAGTTCCTGAAGTGCTTTCCGGCCAATCGCAAACTTTCAACACAGAATTAAAAATTAAGCCAGAAGGGCAAGGCATTGCAATTTCACATTCACATTGACAAACTATATAGCCGTTTGAGCCAGGATCAGGAAACATGGCGCCATCTGGTTGACCTTCGCATACGCCTTTATGGCTGCAATTTGTGCCTGATGGGCCAGTTAATGGTTGATATGGTAATGCAGGAGCATCGGGCGTTGAAAGCGCAGCAGGTAAGGATGCAGCATCTGGGACTGAGGACACATCAGGACTCGGTATTTTGTTGCAACAGCCGCAGCAGTCACCGCAACATTCACTTACTCTTGACTCTATCCCGAGACTTGGTAACACCAAGGCTACATCACATCGAGCGCGTTGCTTGAAATCACAAACTCCAAGACGTCGATTGAAGTGCAATCCACGGGGACATTTCCCAACCGAGAACATCCTTTGGCCCTTACAAATTACAAACCGATCACACTGAATGGCATGAGATAAGCGTGTGCCATCCTCTAGACCTTCGCAAGGATCTTTTACGGCCTTGCAGTTCGCATACAGCAGCCATACAAGAATTCCAAAAAACACTGCAATAATAGTGTCAGTTTGAATAAACGGAGCTAGGAGCAGAAATCCTTAAGTACATACCGTTTCGCATTTTTATTGTATATTGAGATGCAAAGTGCCCCGGAAATCTTTAAAGACTGATCGGTTTCTTTTCACGGCGGCAACATAATATAAGCAATTCTCGGTTTAATCAATGTAAGAGTTATCGCGAGCAGGTAGTAAGTTAATTAAAACTAAATAAAGACCTATTTTGCAATATGTATTAAGTTCTTTCTTTTGTATCAAATATGATATACATACATACGTACATAGATTTGTATGCTTATAGTGCAATACTCAGAAGCTGTCTTTTCATTGTAGACTTCTTTTCGGTAACGGCATATGTACAAATTTGTGTGTATTTTCAAGCAATCTTATCACTACAAAATGGAATTTTATTCAAACATTTAATTTTTGCAATTTTAATTAAAGCAAAAAGAGAAATTGCAGTGTTTGGCCTTCACCGAATGATTGCTTTCGTTTTGATGAATAACTATGTATCAGGGTTGTGGCGAATATTCGCATTCGCATTCGCAGTAATCAATGCGGAGCTTTTGCGAATGCGAATGTTGGCAAAATGACAAATTGCAGCCAATATTTTTTGCCTGTGGTCGTGTTGCCCGGGCGCCGCACATGGGAATATTTGTGTAAACAAACTGGTCAAATGCCATATTTATCAACTTTGATAAAAAATGTCTTTAAACATATTATTTCTTAAGCTACATATATAACCGAGCTACCAGTGGACAGTCATACATGTTCGCACTTCTACTTGACCTTTGACGTACGTCAAAGAGAACATTGTCCTTTTAATGATATTCTTTTTTCTGTCTTTAAATACCTATCTCTTTCTTCATTCTGATTTTTTTGGACCAATCCTAAAAAAGCTACTAGACTTAAAAACTAAAAAATTAAATTGTCGTAATTTGCTTTTGATATATTCGTTTCAACCATTTCAAATGGGGCTCTTTGGAGAATTTATTTGTAGCAAAAATTTAAAAAACAGTCATTTTGNGCAACATAATATAAGCAATTCTCGGTTTAATCAATGTAAGAGTTATCGCGTGCAGGTAGTAAGTTAATTAAAACTAAATAAAGACCTATTTTGCAATATGTATTAAGTTCTTTCTTTTGTATCAAATATGGTATACATACATACATACGTACATAGATTTGTATGCTTATAGTGCAATACTCAGAAGCTGTCTTTTAATTGTAGACTTCTTTTCGGTTAACTGTAGGGATGTATGTATATATTCCATGGAATAAATGGCATATGTATGTACAAATTTGTGTGTATTTTCATGCAATCTTATCACTACAAAATGGAATTTTATTCAAACATTTAATTTTTGCAATTTTAATTAAAGCAAAAAGAGAAATTGCAGTGTTTGGCCTTCACCGAATGATTGCTTTCGTTTTGATGAATAACTATGTATCAGGGTTGTGGCGAATATTCGCATTCGCATTCCCAGTAATCAATGCGGAGCTTTTGCGAATGCGAATGTTGGCAAAATGACAAATTGCAGCCAATATTTTTTGCCTGTGGTCGTGTTGCCCGGGCGCCGCACATGGGAATATTTGTGTAAACAAACTGGTCAAATGCCATATTTATCAACTTTGATAAAAAATGTCTTTAAACATATTATTTCTTAAGCTACATATATAACCGAGCTACCAGTGGACAGTCATACATGTTCGCACTTCTACTTGACCTTTGACGTACGTCAAAGAGAACATTGTCCTTTTAATGATATTCTTTTTTCTGTCTTTAAATACCTATCTCTTTCTTCATTCTGATTTTTTTGGACCAATCCTAAAAAAGCTACTAGACTTAAAAACTAAAAAATTAAATTGTCGTAATTTGCTTTTGATATATTCGTTTCAACCATTTCAAATGGGGCTCTTTGGAGAATTTATTTGTAGCAAAAATTTAAAAAACAGTCATTTTGTTTACTTGTCGGGCAATATCTTTTTCATAGGGATATACATTGGATCCTTGGATAAAAACTTCTTGGTAAAACTCTCCCCCTACGTTTTCCTTCTTTGCTATTTAAAGTCAAAGATTAAGCTCCTTCAGTAGGGATTTTCAGCAGAAATGGTGAACGTTTGGCTATAAAGAGAACCGATGCTCAAACAATTAAAAAGCTATAGGTCTGACCTTTTATTAGGTAAAAATTACGTAACTACCTGAGACCCTCACCATCCGTCACGAATTTGAAAACAGAATTTTGTTCAAAATTTTCATTCCTGGAAAATAATAAGCACAAATTTTTCAAACTAGTCGCAGAAGAATGCATTAAAAATAAATTACAAGTAATTTTTAGCAAAAAAACCGACTTAAAAAAAAAATATATATATATATATTTCATAATCCAATGATCGGATCTAAACCAGATTAGTATGGAACCACCTCTGAGAAACTACCTTTCCGATGCAAAAATCGGTTGACGTGGTCCAAAGTTATGCGGTTATATACATAAAAAAAATATTGCGACGAACTGATAACCTCCTCCTTTTTTGGAAGTTGGTTAAAAACTACTGATGAACGCTAAAAACTCTGNACTTCTACTTGACCTTTGACGTACGTCAAAGAGAACATTGTCCTTTTAATGATATTCTTTTTTCTGTCTTTAAATACCTATCTCTTTCTTCATTCTGATTTTTTTGGACCAATCCTAAAAAAGCTACTAGACTTAAAAACTAAAAAATTAAATTGTCGTAATTTGCTTTTGATATATTCGTTTCAACCATTTCAAATGGGGCTCTTTGGAGAATTTATTTGTAGCAAAAATTTAAAAAACAGTCATTTTGTTTACTTGTCGGGCAATATCTTTTTCATAGGGATATACATTGGATCCTTGGATAAAAACTTCTTGGTAAAACTCTCCCCCTACGTTTTCCTTCTTTGCTATTTAAAGTCAAAGATTAAGCTCCTTCAGTAGGGATTTTCAGCAGAAATGGTGAACGTTTGGCTATAAAGAGAACCGATGCTCAAACAATTAAAAAGCTATAGGTCTGACCTTTTATTAGGTAAAAATTACGTAACTACCTGAGACCCTCACCATCCGTCACGAATTTGAAAACAGAATTTTGTTCAAAATTTTCATTCCTGGAAAATAATAAGCACAAATTTTTCAAACTAGTCGCAGAAGAATGCATTAAAAATAAATTACAAGTAATTTTTAGCAAAAAAACCGACTTAAAAAAAAAATATATATATATATATTTCATAATCCAATGATCGGATCTAAACCAGATTAGTATGGAACCACCTCTGAGAAACTACCTTTCCGATGCAAAAATCGGTTGACGTGGTCCAAAGTTATGCGGTTATATACATAAAAAAAATATTGCGACGAACTGATAACCTCCTCCTTTTTTGGAAGTTGGTTAAAAACTACTGATGAACGCTAAAAACTCTGAGACGTTACAGGTTCCCCAAATTCTGAAACAGCCAAAGGAATGAGAATGAAGAGTACTAAAAAAAAAACCTTAAAAATTACAATTTTGTAATTTTTCTATTTACCTAAATAACTTAATTTATTTACTTAATTTAATTGTTTGTTAAAAATACTTGACGTCCGCATTCGCATTCGCATCCGCAGACGTCTAAAATTCCACATTCGCAACATCCCTACTATGTATGTATGTATGTACATAAATATATGCATAGATCAGAACAAATATCGCTGATTAAGAAATTTAATTTGTGTGCGAAAATTTTCATATGCACATACATACATGGGTATGAAGATATGGCTCATTTGCTAAAAACTGTCACNGATTAAGAAATTTAATTTGTGTGCGAAAATTTTCATATGCACATACATACCTGGGTATGAAGATATGGCTCATTTGCTAAAAACTGTCACATCCGCTCGAATGGTGCACCTGAGTTATACTGCTTCATCTGGCCATGACTCCTGGATTTCGGGCCTTTAGCTGCAATACACTCCGCGCAGTTAGCAATACACTCTGTGACCGATTGCCGACAACCAACCCAATAGAACCTCTGCTTAACCTTCTCCAGGGTCTTCGTGATTCCCAGGTGCCCTCCACTAGGACCATTGTGGAATTCCTTGGGTACATCCGGAATTCTTACCCTTAGTACTACTATTAGGTTGCGGGAGCACGGGCCATCTTCACTTTCCCATACCCTGTGCAAACAGCCATATATTAGTTTTAAGCATTTCCACCAGTACGCCTTTGCGATGAGGCTTTCCGCTGCCATTTGCTCCTTAGTTGGCCTTCTGTCTACTTCCAGTCCGTGCATCAAAAGATCTGGATCTTCCTGCTGACACTTTCGTAGCTGTTCTTCCTTCCACTCTTCCGCTGGTGTTATTGTCGTTAGCCGGACGTCTATAATGACTTCTTTGCCCTCAGATTTTGAGCAGTGTTTACATTCCAGGCTACATGGTCGGCGGGACATGGCATCAGCATTACCGTGGACACTTCCCTTGCGGTGCTCAATAGCGAAGTCATAACTTTGCAGTCTCTCAATCCACCGAGCTAGCTGTCCTTCTGGATTCTTAAACTGTAGTAGCCACTTCAGCGCTGCATGGTCCGTTCGAACTCGGAAACGTTGCCCATAGAGGTACTTGTGGAAATGTTTGACGCACTCCACCAACGCTAGTAGTTCTCTCCGAGTTACGCAGTAGTTCCTCTTTGGTTTTGCAATCGACCGGCTAAAGTAGGCAACTACCTTCTCCGGCCCATCAATTATCTGCGACAGTACGCCTCCTATGGCATAACCACTAGCACCCGTATGCAAAATGAACGTTGCACCTGGAACGAGATACGCTAGCATAGGTGCAGTACATAGCCGTTCCTTCAGAGTCTGGAAAGCGTCCTCCTGCTTCTTGATCCACTCGAAGGCTTTATTTTTCCTCGTGAGCTCGTAGAGGCTATTAGCAACGCTGGCGAAATTCGGAACAAATCGGCGATAGTAGGTACATAGCCCAAGAAAACTTCGTAGTTCGTGCAGGTTCCTAGGTCTTGGTTAATCCTTTATGGCTTCTATCTTTTACTTCGCAGTACAGACGCCCTCCGTTGTCACCTTGTGCCCTAAGTAGTTCACCTCCTTTTTGAACAGTGAGCACTTTTTAGGACTTAGCTTCAGGCCAGCGCCAGCTATCCTCTGGAAAACTTCCTCTAAATTGTTAAGGTGTTCCTCGAAGCTTTTACCCAATACAATAATGTCGTCTAGATACACCAAGCAGGTTTTCCGATGCAGTCCCTTAAGCACATGGTCCACAAGCCTTTCAAAAGTGGCAGGAGCGTTGCATAATCCAAAGGGCATCACCGTGAATTACCGCAGACCGTCTCCAACGCTGAAAGCTGTCTTCTCCTTGTCCCCGTCACTTACCTCCACTTGCCAATAACCGCTCTTAAGGTCGAGTGTTGAGAACCACTTTGTTCCAGTCAACGAGGCCAGAGTGGCATCGATCCTGGGAAGAGGATAGCTGTCTTTTTTCGTCACATCGTTTAGTTTCCGGTAGTCTACGCAGAACCGCATTTGACCATCCCTCTTCTTCACAAGTACTACCGGCGAACTCCATGGACTCGCTGATGGTTCAATCACACCACTCTCGCTCATTTCTTTCATTATTTGGCTTACAGCTTCATGTTTGGCAAGTGGAACACTCCGAGGAGCTTGACGGATCGGCCTTGCATCACCGGTAGCAAGGCGATGTTTCAGAACATTAGTCCTGCCTGGTTTGTTGCCGTCCTTGTCGAATATGTTGGAGTATCTGCGGAGAAGTTCCTTAGCCTTGACTGGTATTTTTCTTCCAACCCTTCCGTCCAAGCATTTATGTCTTCCGCAATGTCATTCTCACCAACAGTTGAAGATTGCCTCTACCTTTCGACATTGTCCCAGTACAGTTCCTCTTCGGAATTTAATTGGTGATTTGAATTCATTAAGTACTCGCACTGGCATGCGTCCATCTTAGCCAGGGTTTTACCAATAAGAACGTCCGGTGTAGAATTTTGTGTTGCTTCAACAACCCACAATTTGTTTCTCCCACAATCTCCATCAATCTTCGCCCAAACAACTGCTTCTGACTTCGGTGGAATCTGCTCGCTTTCCTCTAGGATCACTCGCTTGCTGCTATGCGGTTCATTATACCCAAATCTAGGGGGCACTTCCATATTGTTATACGTCATAATCCTGTTCTTCATGTTGATCTGCATACCTTGATCAAGTAAGAAATCTATTCCAATGATGACTTCATCCACAATCGCCGTGACTATAAACTTGTGTAACACCGTCACATTCCCTATTGTGACTTTGCATGTTCTCTCCTTGAACTTGGGTGTCCTCACCAGTTGCTGTCCTCAACCTTGCTCCAGGTAATGGCCTTACCTCTTTAGTGACCAAATTAGATCGAATGATGGAATGTGAAGTGCCCGTATCCACAGTTAGTACTGGCTCATGTCCGTCCACATATCCGCCAACAGTGACGTTGCTCGCTTTTCTGGCAATTCGCGGGACGGAGATTATGGGGCATTCAATTGCGGGAGCCAGCGTGTGCTACTTGCTGCTGGCTCGTTTTAGTTTAATGACTGACTGGAGTTGGATTCGTCTCCTTCAGCCCTGCGTTTGCGTTCTGCTGAATTGTTGAGCCCACTGGAACTTCCGCAGCAANGTACTGGCTCATGTCCGTCCACATATCCGCCAACAGTGACGTTGCTCGCTTTTCTGGCAATTCGCGAGACGGAGATTATGGGGCATTCAATTGCGGGAGCCAGCGTGTGCTACTTGCTGCTGGCTCGTTTTAGTTTAATGACTGACTGGAGTTGGATTCGTCTCCTTCAGCCCTGCGTTTGCGTTCTGCTGAATTGTTGAGCCCACTGGAACTTCCGCANGATCTGCATACCTTGATCAAGTAAGAAATCTATTCCAATGATGACTTCATCCACAATCGCCGTGACTATAAACTTGTGTAACACCGTCACATTCCCTATTGTGACTTTGCATGTTCTCTCCTTGAACTTGGGTGTCCTCACCAGTTGCTGTCCTCAACCTTGCTCCAGGTAATGGCCTTACCTCTTTAGTGACCAAATTAGATCGAATGATGGAATGTGAAGTGCCCGTATCCACAGTTAGTACTGGCTCATGTCCGTCCACATATCCGCCAACAGTGACGTTGCTCGCTTTTCTGGCAATTCGCGGGACGGAGATTATGGGGCATTCAATTGCGGGAGCCAGCGTGTGCTACTTGCTGCTGGCTCGTTTTAGTTTAATGACTGACTGGAGTTGGATTCGTCTCCTTCAGCCCTGCGTTTGCGTTCTGCTGAATTGTTGAGCCCACTGGAACTTCCGCAGCAATCGCGGGCGAAGTGGCCTGGCTTTCCACATTTAAAACATTTGCCAGAGCCATGCTTTTTCTGCCTAGCAGTTGGATAATCTTCTTTAGTATTTCATTTGTTTCGTCCGGTGTTTCCACTTCCACGCGATGTGCTTTGTACGCTGATCTATTAAGGAGCGCCGCCGTTTCACGTGTCTGAGCATACGAAACCGTTTCAGCAAATGTTGGCTTTGGATTCGCGTATGTTTCTCGCTTGGTATACACGCCCCGCATTCCGTTAATGAACTTCTGGATTTTTACCCTTTCGAGGTGCTCACCAGATGCCACTCCAATAGCCGAGTGAGCCAACTTCTCGATCTCTGAGACGAATTCTTGTAGAGTCTCATTGGGTTTTTGGCAGCGGTTCTCCAACTCCATCTGGTAAATCTGTTTCCTGTGCTCGCTACCATAACGTCTTTCCACTGCGTTTAACGCGCCGTAACGTTTCCTTTCGCAATTAGGAATAGTCTGCAAGATTTCCGCTGCAGGTCCTTTCAATGCAACGAACAGAGCAGCGGATTTATCCTCCATGTTCCAGTGATTTGCTGTAGCTGTCTTCTCAAACTGGAGCTTAAAGACCTGGAAAGGCATCGTGCCGTCAAAGGATGGAGTTTTTACCTTGGGAGCGTTCGTCGAAGCGGCTGGACGATTCAACTGCAAGTCTCGGAGTCGACCTTCCAACTCGCCCATCTTAGGCTCGACTTTGCCCTGTCTCTCTTCGATTTTTTCCTTTATTTGTGCAATCTTTACATCCTGTGCTTCCAGTTGTGATGACATCTGCTCTGATACCGCTGATTATATACAGTGTCTCCAGCGCTTGTATCTGCGATGAAACATCTGACGACTGCGACCTTTGTGCTTCAAGCCGTGTTTGCATCTGAGATGACAGCTGTGATGGCATCTGTGACATGCGTGTTTCCTGTACTTGCATCTGCGATGATAGCTGTGATGACATCTGTGACATGGCAGCCAATAACGTGTTCATGTCCATAGCTGTTGATGAACTAGGAGCCTTTTGCTGTTCTTAAACCTTCCCGGATGTCTGCTGCACATCCTTCGACGAACAAGCAGCCTCATCCTTCTGTTCNAGGTAGCCAAATTCCGCTTTTCCAACTCCTGTTTCAGCTCCTCAATCTTTAAGTCCTGAATTTTCGCCATTTTTAGTAGTTTATCCTTCGGGATTTATTTAACAATCCCACTTCTGACACCAATTGTTACGATTATCTTCGAAACCTTGTGACAGCCTATTCTCCTTACGGCGCACACAACCGCGGTTGTCAAAAAAGTAGAGCCCCAACAAGGTCCTCAAGTCGCTCGCCGGCTGCACCTGGGGCAAAGACAAAGGAGCAGGCAACATACAAGGCAATTGGCCGCCCGGTTCTAAACTATGCTTCGCCTGTTTGGTCGTCGGGCACTACACCTTGTTCAGTTTTAGTTCAGAAAGTTGCAATTTAAATTCAGAAAGTTACAATTCAAGTTCAGAATTTCCATTTCAAATTCAGAATTTCCATTTCAAATTCAGAAAATTACAATTCATATTCAGAATTTCTATTTCAAATTCAGAAAATTACAATTCAAATTCAGAATCTCCAGTTCAAATTCAGAAATGGAAATTCTGAATATGAATTGTAACTTTCTGAATTTAAATTGCAACTTTCTGAATTTAAAATGGAAATTCTGAATATGAAATGTAACTTTCTGAATTTGAACTGGAAATTCTGAATTTGAGTTGTAATTTTCTGAATTTGAAATGGAAATTCTGAACTTGAATTGTAATTTTCTGAATTTGAAATGGAAATTCTGAATTTGAAATAGAATTTCTGAACTTGAATTGTAACCATCTGAATTTGAAATGGAATTTCTGAATATGAATTGCAACTTTCTGAACTAAAACTGAAAAAGGTGTAGTTGGACGCAGTGGTCGAAGCTTCAGACATGTAGAAACGCCGCACTCCGGACGACGACAGGCTTCCTTTTGAGCACCACCTGTATAGTCTGAGCACCACCTGTATAGCGAGGCCCAAATATTTGCCGTAAGAGAGCATAACAAAGTGCTCAGCAAGCAGTTTCTGGTGCGATGCCACAGACGTGAGCACCCCAGCAGACCCTTGCACGTGGAGCAGCATCCGCCCAGGCACGTCAGAGGGCGCCTACTCTTATACAGTAATAAATCGACCAGCAGTTATACCAAATTCACACATCGCGGCATTAATGCAACTTTATTCGGGGTATTTTGATGAGACATGCAAAGAGGTTACTGACAACGAAATTATTCCCTTCATATTCATTTCACAAATCGAAAAGACAATTCTCGTAAAAATGTTCTGCGACATTGTAGTTTTTGTAGCAGCATATATATTCCCCACAGAGTTTTTGGGGAGTGATGCTGGAGTGACAGTCCTTGGCCAGATAGGAACCTGGGTCGTTCCGGTTACGTAGACACCACTATTGTGGGAACGACACCAATGGTACATTAAGTTAAGTGAACCTCCCGTCTTTAACTGTTATTCCCGATTGACACAAATCGTCTTCTTGGAGTATAAACCTACCTACTAACTACCTTAAGAAATTTTACAGAGATTTGTTGATTATAAAGCAACATTCTGCTAGAAAATATGAGTTATTGTGGGCTCGTTCGAGGCTTTTAATAAAAGCGGCAGTGCTTCAGCACTGATGAAAATTTGCAACACTGTTGCAACTGCTGAAGTGATACCACATTGCTAGAGTTTTACATCCAACGTGATACGTGATAGGCGGAGTACTGCGGTTGTGATAGCCACTCGAACAGCCCAGTATTTATTTTATTTTTATATTGGGTTTGATTTCTAAGCAACAAATAAAAATTATTGGTAGTTGTTGGTCTGAGCTGTAAATTTTCTTTGGCGGTAGTTAGCATATTTACATTCCAATGCGACGAGATATATGCATTTATGAATTCAGCTACAGAACATAAATAGTTGAAATGAAAAAGAAGCCAGATTATTTGCAAAGAAATATTTTTTATATACAGATTTCAAGAAAGACTTCAATAGCAATATTCAAAACTCTAGATATTCGCTGCATTTACTTTTTACATCCATCATGGTTCAATGCACAAAATATTGTTTATAGTAATAGTTATTTAATGAAAACGTATTAAGATATTAAGATCCAAGTATAGGAGTGTTCGCTATGCAACTGCCAGTAAGATTCAAATTAATGTTGATAAAAATGCAACTGTGTGCCACAATCCTGCTTGCAAATTCTTACTGGCAAAAATTTTCCCGAATTTGCAACTTCCCCTCCAAAGGAAATGTCAAAACTCTGCTCTCTCCTTGCAAGTTTTACTGGGTTTTTGGCTAAACGAACACGATTTGGTAACAATTGGTACCAACTTGTACAAAATTTGTGCATAGCGAACGCTCCTTATATGTACATATTCTGCGTGTGAATAACCAAAGATACATATATTATATTATGTTTTTATATAAGTCCTTAAATATATACGAATATGTTTTTTTTTTAACAGTAAGATTATTAACTAGTTTTGCACACAAGCACTGTTCAAGCGAGTAAGAGCTATCCNTGGCTAAACGAACACGATTTGGTAACAATTGGTACCAACTTGTACAAAATTTGTGCATAGCGAACGCTCCTTATATGTACATATTCTGCGTGTGAATAACCAAAGATACATATATTATATTATGTTTTTATATAAGTCCTTAAATATATACGAATATGTTTTTTTTTTTTTAACAGTAAGATTATTAACTAGTTTTGCACACAAGCACTGTTCAAGCGAGTAAGAGCTATCCAGAATTTTAAAGGACTTGCCAACTTAATATACACAAAATTTTCAGGCAAATGCTGTCTACAATGGAAGCCCTTGGAACTACCAGTACATGAATGCTAAATTATATAATAAAATATATGTATCCAGTAGTCTAGTTTAGGGCAATTTCTATATCATTTTTTTCACATTTTATTATTTGCGCATTTTCATGGTGTATGTGCAATGCTCTTGGTACATCGTTATTTCATTATGTTTATCACTAGTCCAAATCAGTATTGTATATAATTTGTATTATTTCTGAGTGTTTAATTCATGAAATGCGTATGGAAATCAACAAAAAAATCGAAATAAACACATTGTTAAGAAATAATTACAATAAGTAACCATATTTTTCANGGTACATCGTTATTTCATTATGTTTATCACTAGTCCAAATCAGTATTGTACATAATTTGTATTATTTCTGAGTGTTTAATTCATGAAATGCGTATGGAAATCAACAAAACAATCGAAATAAACACATTGTTAAGAAATAATTACAATAAGTAACCATATTTTTCGTTCATTCCGTTATATATATTCGTGTATATGTATGTATGTATTGTGTTTACGTTAGAATTGAATTCTCCATCTAGTATTTTGTTTTATATTTAGTATTATAATTTACGCCTACGAGTTTTATTTTCAATAAGCATCTTGAAAGAACAGCGTGCCTTATTTCAACTTATGGTCCAAATAAAAACTTTCGTTTTTGCTCTTCAATGTAGTCATGAGTGGACAATTGTATGGCACGCTGAAGCATTTCGGATTCGCTTAGTTGTCCAAAACCTGCAAATATACAGTTGAAAGTTTACAAACAACGTATCCTCGAAGACACACAAACCATCTCCAGCGTACGAGGCTTCCAACAGTTCTTGATAAAAATCGGTTGATTCCTGCTTGTTAATAGATTCTGTTAATTTTAGTGGAGACGATGAAGAAGATGCTAAGGTACATTTTGAAGTGGAAGCTGAAAGAGTATCAGAAAAATTCAAACCCTTCTCAGGTGTGGTAGGGTGTGTTTTCTTTGATGTGCTAGGTTTTTGTTCGGCTTCTGGCGTATGCGATCGTGACTTTATGCGAAGCAAAGGCGAGTCTCCAGTCATCTCGTGGTTTAGACTTTTTCCAATTCCTCTCGTCGGCATAGCATCACTATGGTTAATATATTAAAATAAAATAAAATAAAATAAAAGTAAATGTTTAGCGCTCATATTTTTGTTTAGGTGATGTTGCACCTCAAACGGAGTGGCCTACAATTTTAAACGTGTTTTGGACATTACACGGACTTAACGAGTGGAAGTACGCACCTCTTACTACTCAGCTATGGCAATCGCCTTGATTAGGAGAGTATTTCACCCAGATCTCTGATCTACTTACCCTTTAAATTTTGAAGGTGCAACCGTTTCACGGCGTCGTTTCTGTCCACCTGTTCGCAAACCTGAACTGCGCTTTTTTGTGTTTTTTTTACCGCCACTGTTGTTACTACCACTACTGGCGCCTATTGAGCTCGTACTGCTCATATCTGTGTCATCACTGTCAGCATCCCATTCACCAACGGAGTGTGGAGGAGTTGAGCTTTTCTTTAAATTGTTGGCCAAAGAACTCAATGACTTTGCCGACAAACCAAAACTGTGCTCTAAAGATGTTCCCGATGATGTTTCGGTATTGTTCGGGAGCTGTCCTGAACCAACGATTCCACTTAACTTGTGCTCGCAGACATTTTCTGTAGTTGCAGTATTCGTTAAACCACCAACATCGGTATGGTTTATATTTCTACTGCAGCTGCTGTTGTTAGTGTTAGAAGTGCTTATATTACCATTGTTATTGCGTAGCGCGGAATATTTGGAGGGCGATGCCTCAGAGTCTGAGGTAGCTTCGGCAGACGTTACAGTCGCCGAAGTAGATGGAGCCGTACCGCTAGAACGAGTTTTCTGCAAATTTTCTCGACACCATTGTAAATAAGATTCACGTGCAATTTGTTCTTCTATTGCTTCATTTGTGGCCTCCCAATCAGTTGTTTTAAGTTTGTCTTCAAACATTGTCTGCAAATACATATGAAACGCAATAAACATTTTTAAACTCAAAAATGCTTAAACTGAACCCTACTACATAATATGTAACATAACAAACATGTCAAGAGCTATTTTACCTGCTCTATCTCCATTTGTTCACTCAAAAGTACTGCTTCTTTTGTCTGCAATTCCGGTTTGTAACCAGCTAATCCCAAACCCACTCCCACACTTGCGTCATATGGATCGATAATGGCATTATAATGCGATCCGCGCTGATAGGAAAGGCGCAATGGCGCATAACCTTTGTTTAGTTGTTCTGAATTAAATATATTTATCGGAGCTACAAATAAAAATGAAGGCCATTAGTTTAGGATTGTTAAATAAGAGCACATTAGCATACTTGGTTTGTAAGAATAGACCTCCACTGGTCGATTGTATATTTCCGACATAGCCTGTATTTCAATATGATTTCCATGCGAATCCTTTCGACGTTTTCGTTTAATATAAGAGTTAATATCTTCGGTGACAAAGTGAGAAAAGTACTCCCGATTTTTATACTAAGTGAAGGAACGGTAAGTAAATAATTTTATATAAGAGCAAAAATCTTTTCAATTATCCTTACGATATAATCCATCGTATGCTGGCGTACAACATCGTGCATCTCTTCATCGCCATAAATTTGCAATGAGATTGATCGAAACAGGCATGCACCATCTTCCTCAACCGGCCGTAACTCATAACCTCGCTGAGCCATACATTTAGCAAACTGTTCATCGCGTTGTTGCCACTCATCGGCGGTGGTAGAACCTTCTTTTGGTTGCAAGTGCTCGTCGCCGCTATTGTACCCGGAATATGTCTCTTCGACATCTTTAAGCAAATTAGCTGTTGCTTGCGTTACCGAAGATGAAGATTTGGGACTTTGGCAACCAAGCACAACAGGTATAGCTCCAAGATGATCAGGTGAAACACTTCCCTTAGCACTTACATGCGCTGGACTACTGCCACCGCCCAATACATTCTTTCCTACAGGACTACCGACGGCAGAGGTAGCTACAGATCCGCCTCCATGGACATGTGGGCTACTGCATTTCTTGGGGATTGAACTATTTGAACCACTCGCAGTTGAATGTTTTTCTCGCTCTGCGCGTTCTCGTTTATGATGTTGGTCATGATGATCCCTACGCTTAGACCGTGAGCTATTTACATACGGTAATTAATTATTCAATTCTAAAACGATTTGATTTAAAACGATCGGAAGTTACCTTTTATGTGGGCTTCGACGATGACGCGTAATCTCGTCGAACGATTCAGCACGGCGTTGAGGGCTCTGGTACCATCGACAATAACAATAGATAATGAATTACAAACTTGTATTGAATAAAAAACAAAATGTTTAACAATAATTTGCTTTGGAAATTAAAAATTGGTTCCAAGTATGAAACTTAAATAGATATCCTTTCCTAAGCACTTTCATATGCACATGCATACCTTCATTTGTATAAGAATTGGGTGGGGCAAAAAGGTATTGCGTGTTTATTGCATATTTTTTAAACTCATTTACTCTTATAAGAGCTATCAATCATTATTGTTGTTGTAGCGGCGACAACAACCCCGCCCCGATCGGTTGATATCTCAGTCGTTGTCGTCAAGTTCCACTAACGGCAGCAATAAGAAGCACAGCATAACTGTATTCTAAAAATATTTTTCTGATATACATTTGTGTTTTCTGAAATAAATTTGCCCTTTTCTGAAATACATTTGCGGTTTTCTGAAAATAATTTGAACTTTTCTGAAATACAATTGTGTTTCTCTGAATTTCATTTGTCTTTTTCTGAAATACATTTGAGGCTTTCTGAAATACATTTGAGTTTTTCTGAAATTCATTTGGCCTTTTCTGAAATTCATTTGGCCTTTTCTGAAATACATTTGTGTTTTTCCGAAATACTGTTGGAAAAGGTGTAGAATAGTTCTCTCACAGGGACGGTTGCGGTTAAGGCCACGTGTTATCTGAGTGTTTACGGCGTTAAGTGCTGTTGTTGTACTGTGCACTTTACGGAAACCATGCTGATGCTTCGCTGGGGTCGGGTGGTTCGTGAAATACGGGAGTAGCAAGGGCTCTAGTGTCTTCGCTACCGGGGAAAGGAGGGTTATCGGTCGATAAGACTTTCCATTTTTGGCTGGATTCCCCGGTTTGAGCAGTGGGACAACTCTCCCCATCTTTCATATGTCTGGAATGACGAGAGTAGCCATAGACAAGTTGCGGCCCTCAGTTAGGTACGCTACTCCCGCACGAAGCAAATTTTTCAGCATCAACATGCATGCTGTATGGCTACCCTTACCTCACCGCTGGTGAAAACAAGAGGCGCACAGGGATTTGGCATTTTTGTGCAGCCTCCTGGTCACTCGACGTTTGGCTTTATCCACCGAAGGATGCAGAATAAACTGCCGGCTAAAATAGCTCGCGCATTGCTCCGGGTCCGACGAAGCGTGGTCACCAAAGTCTATTTCGACTCTGTTGTCACGCTTCGTCGGGTTGGACAACGACCTCATAGTTGGCCAAAGCTTACTCACACCAGAGGCGAAGTTGCAGGTCTTCAAATGCTCTTCCCGTTTCTTCCACTTATGTACGTTGACAAGTCGCCGAATCTCCGTATTGACATCCCTGATAGGGGGTTTTCCGGGAACGGCCTGACGAACGTTGTCACGCTCATCGGCTAGAACAGCCGCTTCAGCAGGAAAGTTCGGACGTGGATCCTTAATACATCCTGCTGGGATGAAGCGAGCTGCAGCAGCAGTGAAAATCCTGCGAAATTTACGTTCACCTATGTGGACGTCGGTTGGTACGGGTAGTGCAGTGAAGGAGCTTTCAGTAACATCCGCGAAGCTTTTCCAGTCAGCTTTGGAAAAGTTGACATAGGTCCGGTGATACGCGGAAGCAAAGTCGGCAGGTTTATAAATCGAGATGACTATGGGCATATGGTCTGATGCTAGGATCAGCATAGGTCGCCATGATACGCTGTTTATCACACCAGCGCTGACAATTGTTAGATCTGGCGAGCACCAGCAGCTGCCCATAATCTTGGTGGGAGCGTGGTCGTTCATTGTGCAGAAAGGCGAATCGTCTATCTGCTCAGCCAGATGTATTCCCCTACGATCATATGATAGGCTTGAGAGCCAAAGATCGTGGTACGCGTTAAAGTCGCCAACTACCATACGGCGACAGCTGGTGACAGGGGGTATGTATACGTTATATGTTTCGAGCTCAACCTCGCCTGACCGGATAGCAATACCCTGACATTCTAGGATGGTATCACTGCGGTCGAGGTCTGCTTCAAGAAGACGATACTGCACGGCGAGGTGCGTGATGAACGCTAAACCTCCACCATTGTCTCGCTCGCGATCTCGACGGTGCACGTTGTATCCGGCGCAATTCAACAAGGTTGAATTGCCGTGCAACTTCGTTTCTTGGACCGCAGCTATTAATATTCCATGCCTTCCCATAAAGACAGTTATCTCCTCGATCTTGCTCTGGGATCCATTACAGTTAAATTGTAGCATCTTTGTGTGCTTGGGAGACCGATCGTTATGTATGGTGTTAAGGAGTTGTGTTGCCTGCCGGCTTCCTGCTGTACGTGCAGCAAAAGGGGGAGCTGCCTTGTGGTGGTGGTTGGCGGCAACGCGGGAGAGGTATGCGACTGGGCAGCACAGCAGGGGCCCACATAGTCACTCGTCCAATCACGCGTGTTGCGAAGTCCTGAGCATGCTCTAAAGTGGCACCAGCCAAGGCAGGAGTTGCACTTGACTGATGTCACGTGACGGTATATTCTGGACTGACAAACCGAGCAGATTGTTGGAGAAACTAGGAGTTGCCGGCGGCGGTGTGGGGGTGCTATTGTGTTTGTGTGTGTGTATCTATTGTTGTGTTGTGTTGGGGTGTGGGTGTGTTGGTTGTGTGCTGCACGGGCGGGTAGTGATTTGCCGTGGAAGCGGTCCGATTCGCACAGGATGGGGCCACGACGACCTGGCCCATTGCCGGTACGTACGTAGGCCTTAGCAGTTGCGGAGGTGACTGCACCCGTCACAGGCATTGCTCATGACCGAGGTGGAGTTTGTATGCAGTCGTCTCTGGCATACGCAACAGGTGTATTTCTGGCCCTAAGTTGGACTCAATGCCAGCCCTGAGCAGAAGGGTACGGAGCAGATGTAGCCCTAGAATAGAGCAACGGGGCTAGATCGCCGAAACAACAGCCCTTGGTCGGCTAAAACCAGAGTCATTCCGGTACGTAGAAGCGGCTGTCGTGGGAATGTTATCTTGCACTGTTAGGTTTGCACTGTCATTGGGTTCTGGGACAACTGTGAAGTTTCAAATCTAGGTCATCGGGAAATTGGTCAAAAATTGATTGCAAGATTTGACCCTAGCAAACATACATACATACATATAAACAAAGCAAGTTTAAAAAAAATCTAGTAATAACAAGTAATTTTTAGCAAAAAAAAACCGACTTCAATTCTCATATAAAAATATTTATTTATATATCTTATGATCCAATGATCACATCTAAACCAGATAAGTTTGGGACCGCCTCTGAACACTACCTTTCCGATGCAAAAAGAATTATCTAAATCGGTTGACGCGGTCCAAAGTTATGCGGTAACATACATAAATATCCCGACGAACTGATAACGTCCTCCTTTTTGGAAGTCGGTTAAAAATAGCCAAAACTTACACTAATGTCGCGTCCGAGTTTTTATTTGGTTCCCTGTAAGCCTGTTCCAGGTACTTTCAAGATTTGCAGGATTACACGACTTACAGGAAAATTTGTTTTCGCCATTAATGATAGCGCGGAAAACGCAATTAGCTACTTTATATTTGTCGCTTTATTGAACTTAAATTTAATGGCCTGCAAAAGTGTGCATACCTACCAAAATATTTTCTAAAGATGCTCAATAAAATGTTAGAAATATTTGGTAAAATTATGCATAATTTTTGCACAAAGTCTGAATTTGGATTTAAATGGTGTATGTTAAGTAATAAGTTATACTTTTATAAAAAAAAAAAAATAAATAAATATTTAATAAACTAAAGATAATTAAGCCTGTTTCAGGTACTTTAGGATTTGCAGGTTTTACAGGATTTACAGCAAAAGTTGTTTTCTATAAATTCCTGCAAATCGTGAAGTACCTGGATATGCTATGTATACCATTAAAACTTCTTTTTGTATCCTTGCGTTTCTAATAATTTGGATGTATCTGACCAAACTTACATATTGTCCCTTTTCTGCCTTAAACAAGTATCTACAATTTTTGGGAATGCTAATATTACCACTTATAACATCTGTTTAAGCGTCACACTATTTCAAAATAGAACAAAGACTTAAAGAGGGTGCTGTTGTTGTTGTTGTAACAACATGCGGATTCCCCAGAGTTTTTGGGGAGTGTTGCTGGAGTGACAGTCCTTGGCCAGATATAGATCTGGGTCGTTCCGGTTACGTAGACCCGACTGTCGTGGGAACGTAATGAGGGTGCTCACTACTGTTAGTGGAACCAGAAATATTAAGTAAAAAATGCGTTTATTGTATCCTAACGGAAGAAATTAAGCATTTTTTCCTACACTCTCTAAAATACCTCTATTGCAGATACGAGGTTAAGGCAGAAGCGGGACGATATGTAGCTAAGATTGCTTACCTGCCCGCCACGGCATGGAGGATGTGCGCCAGTAGTGCGACCACTGGACTGGCTGTGACTGCTTCCTGGCTCGACCACGTTGTGACCATGTGTATGAGAATGAGAAGCAAGGGCATGCCCATGACTATGTGACTCTTTCTTCTCATCCGAAGCCACACGCTTCTGCGACGGAGCAATCACCGGTTTGATAGTCATGCTTACTTTTATCACTCAATCGAGATATAACTAAATTTTAATTTTTATATTTAATACGTAACAATGCTGCCAATTCAATTCGTTGGATTACTGCTACTATATAGTATGTAGTTTTTTCTATTGCACACCTAACCTGAACGCCGCCCCGTCGCTTATTCAGATATTGGTATGATCTCTCTGCATCCAAAATGTATTCAAGACAATATTCTATTCCAAATAAAAGCCTTTTTGTATTGTATATTGATATATATAGATGTATATATGTGCATAAGCTGATAGCGCAAAGGAATTCCGTAGTTTGGTAGATGAATTGCCCCGTTTTCTTTTGTGCACAGGTGCTAGATTGCGCTGCTATATAACGTCAGTTCGTCACAACTACAACTTTATTCGCAAATAGTAAGATGCGTCAGCCACCTTGATTTTGCATATAATTGCTTCAAAATAAAAATTAATTTTGGCGATTTCATTTTCTATGGGCACTTACCCTTCAAGTTCACTTTTAATGCTTTGCTAAATTTTTTGTTGACAATAGCGATATTTTTCAAAGATTTTTTGGATCGAAAATTTTTCTACTAATTTGCTCCTGTTACTAAGTTTGTTACGTTCACTGCCATATGTGTACACGTCCCTTTTCTGTTTTGCTTTAATCATTCCTAGCAGATGACTGTCGGGTGTGTTTAACAGTTCGTAGCGCTGTCATTTTGTATACGTCAGTTGATGCCAGATAAAACAATGGCTTTGTTTCTTTTCTTTTCTAACAAATAATTATCAGGAAAAAGAAGAATTGGTTAATTAGCTGCGTCACAGCAGCAGTACGAATAGCAAGTTTCGCAGGATTTAACTGCTGTTTTCACCATTAAAAAACCTTATGTAAGGTCTCGTGCGGGAACAGCAACCTGTAAAATCCTGCTATTCGTATTGCTGCTGGAACTCAGCTATTGAGAGAATTACGCTCACAGAGAGTGAACTAAAGAAATAGTAGGTTCTTTCCCTAACAATCCGCACCGGATCCGGTAATTACAGAATGAGCGAAAAGTTCGCTCCCAAAAGTGGAACAAAGTCCCGAAGTACGGGAACGCAAAATACAACATTTCGTGCCCAGAATTTGAGAAACAGCTGATTCACGTTGTTTTTGTTTTTGTCACTTCAATGCAAAAACTTGAAAATTGAATTTTGGTTTCACAAATTTGATTTTAAGTATATAAAGATTGAAAATACATCAACAGGCCATTTACTATTTCTTAAAAGCACCAAGTAACTGTAGGCAGCATGTAAACACAAAAAAGCTGACATGAACTTTGACACTTTATCCATTTTTACTTTTGTTTTAAAGTTTTGAAATTTAAAAACAGTTTTTAGAGTTTAATCAAGTTTGCAGCTAAGTTAGGAATTTGAATTTAAATGATTTATGGAGCATGAGGCATAGTACTCAAATAAAAACTTAACGAAAAATATTTAAAATGAAAAACTTTGGAAATTAAAAAAAAACATAAGTGTGCAATGTACACCCAGTAGAATGAAACCTTCATAAAATCGTCGGAATTTTATTGTAGTCTTTTTTTAAGGATCCGCGATACTTTTAGTGTGTATTTTATTAAACACTCGTTGATAAATTCAATGATATTATTTAAGGAGTTCTTACACGATATGTATTTGCATCTATAAATGTGACTTTTTCAATACATATGTAATTGCGTGTGTCTGTAAAATTCATATGGAAATCTATTAATTCTAATAGCGTTTTCTTTTCTACCGAAAAATGCTGCCTTCTCAGTGCCCTCTATGCACAAATACTAAGGACAGGGCATTGAGAAGGCAACATTTTTTGTAGAAAAGAAAACGCCATTAGTTTATCACTTTATCAAACGATCTTGGTGCGCAAACGTATACATTTCAGCAAAATTCAATCCTGAGGTGGTAGCATTTGCTACGAACAGATAAAATGCAAATGAACAAAATAGACGAGGTAAAGCTTAGTATCCAGCTCTTAAGAAAACGGTCAAGAAAAAATTGCCATTATTTCGCGTGTGTGTCCAAGGAATTTTGACATTTTTTATACCTCACAGCCTGTTGCCTCACTCTTTCCTCAAGAAATAATGGAACGGGCATATATTTCTGTTGCAAACCTGGGTTGCCTTGTGCTCTTTTTTCACAAAAAACTTTAGAAACCCGTAGTAGAAAGCGTACTAAATTTCTGAAGAACTGCGTACTGCCTTAAGGAAATTTGACTCAAGAAAATTTCTTAGCCATTTCTTGTACGCCATTTTATATGGAGTTTTTGCTTTTCTTAAGAGCTGGATACTAAGCTTAAGAATGAAACGCAACTAGACAGATAAGTTCAAGTAAGGTTTACCAAGGTGCGGATAAACTAATAAATTTAAGCGACTTATCCCTTTATCACTTTAAATGAAGACCCCTAATAAGTTCTTTACATCGCGAACACTCACCACCCTTTGTCACTCATTTGTACGGTGACCATCCGTCCTTTATTTTAAAGGAAAGTCCTTTATTTTAACCCCCTGTCCTATATATTTTTTGTCGAAATAAAGGACGCCTTTTGTCCTTTATTTCTTAAACTGTCCTTTAAATCAGCTCTGAATTCTTCAGATTTAAATTTTTAAACACAGAATAAGAAAAATAAAAATGTCCTTTATAAAATATACCCCACTTAAGGGTTTTTATTTAATAGGAAATCTTTGCACAATCTATAAAGCACAGGGGAAGTTGTGCCCAGGATCGTGTTGCACGCTGAGTTTCCAGTTCCACTGATAGAGAACAACTGCTGCACAGTGGTTCAAAACTGGCATTTAGTGTTCGTAATTCACTGGATCCTTCATTTGTTTCACTTAATTTGATAATTTTTTTTTATGAAAGCTTATAATATTTGCAAGAGACCAGTTGAGCCTGATTTGTGAATTTTTATTTGATTATCTTAAATTTTGTAGTGAAAAATGCAGAAAAAGTGGAAATTTTGAAGAAAATGTATTCTCCTGTTCCAGTTAATAAATGTTACATAACAAAGGCTAGTTAAAAACCATTGTACGGTTCCCCAAAACGGAACAACTACACAAAAAATAATAATTATTGAAATATAAAAAAAAATTTCCCAAAATAATATTTTTTTTTTTGGTTTTTAGTAAAAGTTGGTTGATAGATTCACGTTCTTTGCGTGTAACAATTAACCCTGGCATTCAGTAAGCAGTCTCTAGTGCCAAATCTAAAAAAAAAGTCACTTATTTGTCAGCTGGCTCCGAGCTGTTTACAAAAAGAAAAATATGGAGGAAAAGATAATTGCTTTCTATTTTATTAAAAAAAAAACACGAAAGCGAAGCAAAGAAATATTTGTTCCACAACAATTTCATTAGGAAATAAAACAAAATGCTTTAATATCATAAAAATTCATTGGATTTTTTTTAATATTTGTTAAAAAAACTAACCAAAAAAAAGGAAAAAACTAAAAAAAAATTAAAAATCCTTTGCGCTCGATGAGGACTCGAACCCGAGTAGCCACTAATTGCTGGTATCCAATTTAGTGACTTGAGATGAGATCTTACCAAGACATTATACAAAATAGTCAGTTATTTAGTTAAATATATTTATTTTCTTATATTTACTCCGATATTTTATATGGTTCCGTAAAAAGTTTGTATGATTGCGATTTCCTCCAACTGTGCTAGTTGTGCTATTTGTGTGATAAGAATAGTCAGTTTATTAGTTTAAATTATTTATCGTGCAAAGGGGATTCAATACTTACTCTGATTTATAACACAGTTCCTTAAAATGTTCAATTATTGTGTTAACAAGTATGTGAAACAAAATGTTTTACTTTTTAATGTTTGAAAATTTCTTACAAAATGTTCACTAAAGCGATGCCTCTTTCTATATACTATTTCGAATATTTTGTCTGAGAAAAGTTAGAGAAAAATTATAAAACGAATGCATTCTCGATACATTCAACGGACAGGAAAGCAAAAATAGAGAATTCCGTTTGCAATACGAGACTCTTAGGTGCAAAACACCATCCATGCAGTGAAAAATGCTTCATTTTAATACGAGCGTATTTGAATTGAATATTTCAATTTTCACTTTTCTCTTGTTGTAAATACGAATATTTTTAAACGGTAACCAAATAAAAAATTTAAATTTTTACAACGCGTTTTTCCTCAGTGTATGAAAAATTTGCAGGAAAGAATATTACTCATACGCCTAGTACACCTGAGTAACACGCTTTTGTACTCATATTTCAAACACCATCCATGCAGTGAAAAATGCTTCATTTTAATACGAGCGTATTTGTATTGAATATTTCAATTTTGAACACTTTTCTCTTGTTTTAAATACGAAAATTTTTAAACGGTAACCAAATAAAATATTTAAATTTTTACAACGCGTTTTTCGTCAGTGTATGAAAAATTTGCAGGAAAGAATATTACTCATACGCCTAGTACACCTGAGTAACACGCTTTTGTACTCATATTTCATACAAAAAGTCCTTGCGCGTTTTCATTTGACCCCTTATTCCTTTCCTATTTGTCCATACACTTTCCAAATAAACGGCTCATATACGAAAGCCATAAGTAAAACTCACCCCACATTTTTTTTCAATCCAAAAAATATTTGAGTACCTATAGAACACATGCTAACTAAATAATAGTCATCTATGACTAAAATATTTCTTTTCTTTATTAACTTTTTTCATATACAATAAGAAAATGGAAAAAAATCGTAGATTTATGCACACTTTATAAAATACCATTATTCTAGGAATATTGTGCCAACATTTACATATTCGCAATACATGGAGGATTGAAGAAAAGTATTTGTCTATAACATTATCATAATGTACTTATCTATATTTAAAACTCATAAAAACAAAAACTCGTTTGCACGAAGAAAAACAAGTGTTATCGTTTACGCTAATTTACAATTATTTTTAATTTTTTTTCTCATTACACGTACAAAAATACTATTCATCCTAATTTCATCGTTTTACGGACTTATTTCTCTAAATTAGTTTCTATTGTATCACTATAAATAAATTTTAGTTTATCATTTTTGAACTTCACATACACACATTACCGTTATTATATGTATGTATGTATTCATATTTATTTGGAATTCAGAGTTTATGTTGTTATCGCTGCAAAACACTTTCTTTCTTACTTTATTTGTGAGAATTCATGTTCAACATTCTTCATGCTCGTACGTGCACACTTATATGCATGTACGGTGGCGGGCAAACAAATGGGGGCGAGACATTATAATTTTTTTTTTGCTAGTTAATGTTTATT